GGGGGGGGGGGGGGGGGGGCAGGAGATGAATTTAGGTGTGCGTCAGATGCTGAGACATGGAGGGAGTTGGACATACCGAATGGGAAAAAAAGGTAAAAAGCCATGAGGCGAAACATGGATTAATATGAATGGGTTAATTTAAGTTATAAGAGCTACTGGGACAAGCCTAAGCTGAGGCTGAGATTTCATAATTAATAAGTCTCTGTGTCGTTATTTGTGAGCTGACGGCCAACAGCAAAGCCTGCTACATCTGTCTGTCCCATCTCTTGCTGTCTCTGTGTCTCTGTCTCCTCAATGCCCACTACAGAGGAGGGTTCCCCACCCACCCGCGTTCTAGACAAGCTGGTCACTCAGTCTTCAGTGGCTGAGCCTGGAGAACTGACTGATCATAGGTGCTTGGGGCGGGAGCCCCTGGTCACGATATCCAGTGATCTCTAGTAATTCAGAGGGGGTGGGTAGAGGGGACTGGACACTTGCCCAATCAGGAGCACTGACATCACCTGCTTGGTCCAGTCAGAGTCCAGGGTGGGGATCTTGAATGCTGCCCTGGTAGTACCAGTGATCCCTGCTCTATCCCCACTCCCACCCCTGACATCTCCCCAGCCCCACTCCCACCCCCCCATTCCCATTTGTAGTGGCAACTGTAATGGAGAGACACCACAGAAATCGTTAAATATGGAGACATCTTTTTTTTTCAGCTTTTCTTTTTTTCTTTATTTTTTACATGAATGCCCTGTCTTCATGTACACCTGCATGCCAGAAGAGGGCAGCAGATCTCATTACAGATGGTTGTGAGCCACCATGTGGTTGCTGGGAATTGAACTCAGGTCCTCTGGAAGTGCATCCAGTGCTCTTAACTGCTGAGCCATCTCTCCAGCCCCTGGAGGCATTTTTATATATGGCTCCAAATCTTCACCTGGACCAAGAAGTCCCCCACCCCCACCATGAGTGACACAGTTCGAACCCAGCAAAGTCTCCATACAATATTCATCTCTCGAGGTTCACCCTGGACACAGCCATCCAGTGCCAGGACGGAGGTCAGGCTTACAGGTGTCTCTCTGCTAAAAACACTGGAAAGAAGCTCCAAAGACACGTGATACCACACACTGGAGAGAAGCCGTCTGTGTAAGGAGTGTGGGGGACCATCAGCCATCCCTCAGCTTTTTGAAGACGTAATAACATGCACCTGTTGTTTGTTTTTGCTCTTTTGGGGAGCCCACCACCCAGCTCCCAAATACATCACACACCAAGGCTTATTCTTAATTACAAATGCCCTGCCTTAGCTTGACTTGTTTCTTGCCAGCTTTTCTTAGCTTTACATTAGCCTGTCCACCTTCCACCTCTGGGCTTTTACCTTCTTCTGTTTCTCTGTATCTTTCTTACTCCGTTGATGGTTGTGTAGCTGGGTGACTGGCCCCTGAGGTCCTCCTCCTTCTCTTGGTCCTGCTTCCTCTCGTTCCTTGATCTTTCTCCTCCCAGATTTCCTCCCAGAAACAAGCCAAGCTAAGGCCGAGCATTCATAATTGATAATAAGTCTCTGTGTCTTTATTTGGGTTAGTGGCCCAAAGAAAATTCCAACTACACACATGAGCCCAGCAGTGGTGATGCTCACCTTTAACCCCAGCACTCGGGAGGCAGAGGCAGGCGGGTCTCTGAGTTCGAGGCCAGCCTGGGCTACAGAGTGAGTTCCAGAACAGGCTCCAAAGCTACAGAGAAACCCTGTCTCAAAAAAACAAAATAAAAAAGACACATGAAATGACACCCTGCAAAAAGCACCAGGCATGCAGTGTGGCTCACCCTACAAAGGGACTCCTGCACAGTGCTCCAGAGGCAGCTGGACACTGGAGAAGCAATCCCATGAAGTGCGTGTGTGTTTTTGTTTATGGCTATGAGTGTGTGCATGTGTGTGTGCAGATGTGCTCGTGCATGTGTAGGGCCCTGTGCCCAAATGCAGAGGCTAAAATGAGTGTCAGGGTCCCCTATCGATCCCTTTCAGGCAGACTCTCTCCCTGAACCTGGGCCTCACGTTTCTCAGCGAGGCCAGAAGCAAGTCCAGTGACCCCCATACCATTGCCCACTCAGAACCAGGGTTGGAGGCCGCAGCAGAAACCCAGCTTTTCCGTGAGTGCTGGCATCTGAACCCCACGTCTCATGACAGGGGAGCAAGCTCTCTACAGCTTGAGCCGTCCGTCCCCCCCCCCGCCCCCCGCAGCCTCTGTAGTGGGCTTTGATGCACAGCTAGGCTTGAATTATGCTTTGTCTGATGGCAGCCCGTCACAGATTAGAATCACCCGGGTGGGGGGTGCACCTCAAGAGCTACCCGACTGCCCTGACTGGCCTGAAAGGCCCACGCCGTTGCCAGCAGCCCAGGTATAAAAAGTTGGTCGTGGGAAACATGGTCTCACTTCCGGCTCATGTGACCTCCCTCCAGGGCTGACCCGCCCACCGCTGCTGGTGGTGGCAGGACCAGTGTCCCCAAGCATGCATCATGGAATAGGGACCAGTGGCTCTCCAGGGACCTTCTGGTGCCAGATTGGTACTACTGAGGAAGCCCACATTGTGGACTCATTAACTACCGGTTGCCAGCCCCCAGTGAGACAGCTATCGAGGAATACTGTGACGCCGGGGCTCCACTCTGCATGACCAGGAACCTGGTTCTCTGTGTCTGGTGGCACTCGGCTGGTGTCACCATCTTAGAGATGACTTAGTGCACGTGCACACACGCACACACGCACAAGCACACACGCGCACACACACACAAGCGCACACACGCATGCGCACACACACACGCACGCATGCACACATACATGCACACAAGCACACCCGCACAAGCACACACACAAGTACACGCACACACAGCTGTGCTGCTCTAGTGACCCCTGACTGAAACAGCTTGGTTTCCATCCAGTGGATAGGAGGAAATACCTCTTAGGGAGCTGTTTGGACAATGAATGATGGCTTTTATTCAGCTTGAGATTTCCATGAACTCAGTGTAACAAATGTGAGAGCCCGCCCATCACATTTTCTACCTTTCCTGCTGGGATTATTCTATCCATTAAAATAAATTAGAGCAGTTTGTTTTTTGTTTATGAAGTATCAGAAATTCCAAATTATGCAAAACTTGAAAAGCCAACAGTCTTGTGTAGATGGTGCCCTCCCGCATCCCACATTTGGTGTTTGGTTTGGTGTCATGGTTCGGTTTTTTTTATTAGTTTGGTTGGTTTTGTTTTGTTTGTTTGTTTTGTTTTGTTTTTATCAACTTGATACAAACTTAGAGGCACCTGGGAAGGGTGAATCTCAGCTTGGCCTCTGGGGTATTGTTTGACCTTCGAGGACCCAGCCACGTGTGGCCACCTCTGGGTGAGCCTGGGAACCAGCTGGTGGGAAGCCTTCCTCCTAGCAGACGGGGAGATGCAGGTTGGGAGTTTGCCCAGCTGGTTTTCACTCTTGCTTTAATCCAGTATTTCCTCTCTATGCTCCCTTTCCTTCCTATTGGAATGGTAATGTATATCCTGTGCCAATGTGTGTTGGAAGTATGTCATCTGCTCTTTGTTGCTGTTGTTCTGTTTGGGTTTTCAAGACAGGGTTTCTCTGTGTAGCCCTGGCTGTCCTGGATCTCGATCTGTAGCCCAGGCTGGCCTTGAACTCACAGAGATCCGCCTGGCTCTGCCTCCCGAGTGCTGGGGTTAAAAGCGTGGGCCAAGCCTGGCTCGTCTCTAGATATTTATGCATGGCTAAAACGTCTAACTCTTTGTACACTTCCCATGGCTCTGGAACCCTGATGCTACCATCTCGTTGGCCGCAAGAATGTATTATAGAGATTCAGCTGTGTATTAAAGCTATATTTTGACCAACCAAGGATCCATCAAATGGGAAGCCATTTATCACTGAATATTTAGTGTTATACAACTTTAATATTCAGCTGTGCCTTGCAATGAGTTTCTTGTGGGCCCATATATTACTAGACCATTTGGC